TGCTTGATATTGTTTGCATTGGTTGTAGTTACATCTTATCTAGGTCATTATCTCTCATTATTTCTGGACAATATTTGATAACCATTCCTTTGTATATAGTCTTGTATTAGTTTAGAACCTTCTTATTTAGACAAAAAGGGGGAGATGTAGTGGGTAGCCATTCCAGCTTGGTTCTGGAAGTTCCAACCCCCATTGAAACTCTGGCAACTGTCACGCCTACAAGGCAGGGCGAGGGGAGGCGCCTGGGGACCCAAGAGCTGGATGGGCCAGCGCTCGCTCTGGGCGCTCTCGGTGTCCGGACGCTGACCGGTGCAGATTGACTGTGCAGAGCTCCGGAGAACACCGCTGGACTGCATTACACCTTCCCCAGACCCTGCGACCTACCCATTACTTAATTTGTGAGTTACGCCATTTAATAAATATCCTTTTAACTACGTGGAGTGGCCAAAATAATTTCTCCAATAGTTTTCTAAACACAGAGAAGCAAGGGCATGGAGTTGGGTGGATAGGAAGAATCTAGGAGTTGGGAAGGAATCACAATAAGAATTTATTGTGTGAAAAAGTCTTTTCCAATTAACATTTTAATTAAATTGGTTTATTTAGGTTTTTCTTTATGAAGAACCTAATGACACATAAAACTTTGAATTTTTTAACGTTAAAATTTGTTGAGGTTATAATTTGATTTTAACTTTTATGCTGTTCCTTTCTCCTTCAAAACCTTCCCATATATTCCTCCCAGACTCTCTCCAAATCATGACTGCTTATTTATTTATGAATTGTTACCGACTGCATATAAGTATATGTATATTCATGTATATTCCTAAATATAAACTGTTCTGTCTGTATAACACTACCTGTATATATAGTCTCAGGGCTGAATGAATATTTTAAATGCTTATAAATGTAGCAAACAGAATGGAGGTGCAGAGTTTATAACAATAACATTGAAAGACTTGAATGTAGGAGGAGGAAGCAGAGGCACAGAAAGTACAAGATACTTAGAATAAACCCATTGCATGTGTGTAAAAGTCAGAAGAAGTACTCTCAGAGGAATAAGAAGAGTCAATTCATATCTAAGTGACACCTTCCACACAGGCCAGGAGAATCCCAATGACACTCTGGGAGATGCATGCAGAGTGTTGGAGGAGGGAGGTGTTGAGGACCAACTGCTCCTACCCACCCTATAAGCCTCCATTTACCACTGTCCTCAGAAGCAGTCTGCAGGGAGCTTGGTCATGAGGCTATGAGTCCCCTTTAATTGATCCTAAGAGCTTTCTCCTTCAGTTTTTATCCCAGGAGGCACCAGGACAAGCACCTGCCCCTAGTCTCAGAAAATCATAGATATTTCTGAAGACCAATGACCTCCACACAAAGGAAGACAGAGCTTCAGGGAAACGCTTAAGACTTGGTGCTTGCAGGAGAGGAGAGTCTGTGGTCAGCAGTGTGTACTTTTGTGGGAGCCATCATCCCCTGAATTCACAATGACAAGAAAAGGTGAGTGAAAGTCTAGTTTCCACTGTGTGACTCTTCCAACTAACAATGGAGCTTCAAAACAGAAGTCTCACTATGAAAGTGATGTTTATCCCAGTGTTTGAATATCAGAACAGAGGGGCATTACTCATGTTCTCGATGAGTCTTGAGGTTGAAAAAGAGTTCTGTGTCAGAGAACAGATTATGATAGAAAGATTTGATTTCATGCTCCACTGTATAAGCAGCAGAATGTCTAACTTCTGATCATGATCAGAGAGTTGATTCATGTCTGTTATTTTTGCCATATGTTCAAAAATGGGCTTACTCTCATGACCCACAGTGCTTACACTAATTTAGAATTGAAAATCAGCAAATTTAGATGAATCTAAGATCTATATTGATGACTAGAAAGGATGTGAATGTTGTCTTGTTTGATCATGACATCCACAGAGCATGGTGAGAAAATGTCACAGAGAGATTTTCATACCCTGTTGTCCAGAGTCCACTGTTGAGGTTCAAAAAAGACCTTCATCTTCCATGGAATTGAAAACACCAGCTCAGTACTGTTGGTGTAAGCCCTGCCTTTTCTGCTACAGGTTAGGGCTGACAAGACTATGTCACCTAAAGAAACAATTACAGCTGTCTAAATATAAGTATCAAGAAAAAATGGTCAAAGAGAAGGGGGGCTGTGATAAGAGGGCTGTAAGTATACATGCTTCTTCTACCAATCTTTCTGGACAGACTGTGGGATCTGCAGATGCTCCAGTTTGTAACCACAGTGAGGATCCTTAGCTGCTCAGTTTCTGAAGATTTTCAAGTCAGCATTGCTGAGATCTAGCTTACATGTAAACATGAGGGTCTGCTGTGAATTTGCTTCACCACACTCTCCCCACCTGGATACTAGATCCTCCCATGTCCACTTATGCACAAATGGGCACTCTAGCAATCAAAATTAAGTTCAAAAAGAGAAGGATGAAATTATGGAAAAGGGGCTTGAGTGTATGCAGCTAGACTCTCTGCTGTGCATGTGTGAACAGTAAGGAACCTTATTGATTAATTTTTCCCTCTGTATAGCAGCATCACATTCGAGTAAGATAATATTGTCTGGTAGGCCAATAGGGAATGTCAGGCATCAAAACATAGCTAAATATCATGTGTATGGTAAATGATTATTGATTTATAGTTTTCCAGAAGTGTCATTCTACTTTCTGTTGTGCATAACAAAATATCACACACAAAAAAAAGAAAGAAAAATTTTTAAATAGTGCATTATTTTCTGGGATATAAAAGTATGTGGCATGACTCCAGGTAGCCAAATGCAGGCAAGACGGCAGTCTTTGACCCCCAAGTGAGTTCTCATCGACCTCTTCTCTCAGTAATTTATCTTCTATGATAGTACAGATTCGGAGGCTCCCCCATGATACTCGGCAGGGGATGCCTGGTTTGATCCTGATGAGAAGCAACAACGGGTACCACTTGGTGAGGAGCACAGGTGAAGTAAGTACTTTTCCTATGAAGAGACACATCCATACAGGGAGCTGAGACTGTGTGAAAGTCCTGTGTCTAATCCAGTCTTTGCCCATCACAGATTCATAGTCATGGGGAATGATAATTACCAGGTTTCAATGGATAGTGTAGTTCCACTCCAAATATCAGAGGAAGCAAAAGGATCAAGATGAGGAAGTTGTAGATGTCCCCTTTGATCCAAATGTTCAGGGTAAAAGATTCTCGATGAAAAAACCAAAGCAAGTGAAATACCAAAAGATATGGTAAGGACATGAGGGACAAGAGGCTTCCTGATGGAAATACATTCACTCATTCCTTTTCAGACAACAGAGACTCTTGAGATCAACAAATTTCAAAATCAGACTTTGGCATGGTAAACAGTAATATGTTCTCAGAAGCTGGCAGACACAGCAGTCAACTGAATGCTCTCCACAATCATGGTTAGTTCCAATGAGACAATGGTGACAGAATTTGTCCTGGAAGGGTTCTCAGAGCACCCTGGTCTACAGCTGTTCCTGATTGGTTGCTTCCTGACCCTTTACACGATGTCTCTACTAGGCAACATTGTCATCATTGCTTTGGTCACCTCCAGCCCTGGGCTCCACAGTCCCATGTACTTTTTCCTGTGCAACCTGGCTACCATGGATATTGTCTGTATCTCCTCCGTGCTGCCCAAGACACTGGTTGGTCTAATCTCTGATGACAACACCATCTCCTTCAAGGGGTGCATGGCCCAGCTCTTCTTCCTTGTGTGGTCTGGATCCTCTGAGCTACTGCTGCTCACAGTCATGGCCTATGACCGCTACATGGCCATCTGCCATCCTCTGCACTACAGCTCTAGGATGAGCCCACACCTGTGTGGGGCCCTAGCCATGGGTGTGTGGTCCATCTGTGCTCTGAATGCATCTATCAACACTGC